ATGTCCACCCCTTCTATTCAGTATTGTATTGGAAGTACTGGGCAGTTAAGCATGAGAAATGAAGAAAATCATTCAGATTGGAAAGGAAGAAGTAAGCTAGATCTGTAGATGGTATGATCTTACATACAGAAAATTCAAAATAATAAAAGTATTAGAGCTAATAAATGAATTCAAAATTGTAAGATACAAGTTGAATATACAAAAATCAGTTGTATTTCTGTATACTACAAATGAACAACTTGAAGGGCCCCCTCGGTGCCTCAGTCAGTTGCACATCCAACTCTTGGTTTTGGCTCAGGTTGTGATATTGTGGTTCATGGGTTCAAGCCCCATGTTGGGCTCTGCGTTGACAGTGTGTAGCCTGCTTGGGATACTCTCTCTCCATCCCTCTGCACTTCCTCTGCTCACTTGTTCTCTCTCTCAAAATAAATAAGTAAACATTAAAAAAGAAAAAAAAAAGAAACAATTTGAAAATGTAATGAAGGAAACAGTTCCATTTGCAATAGCATCTAAAAGATTAAAATACAGTACTTAGGAATATGTTTAACAAAAGACGTATAAAACTGATACTCTGAAAATTATGAAACAAAGTTAAAGAAGACTTAAATGAAAGAGGGGGGCATCCCATGTTCATGGAGTAGAAGATTTAAGCTTGTTAGAATGACACTACTCCCCCCATACACCTGCAGGCTCAGTGAAATCCTTTTCAAATTCCATGCTGGCTTTCCCTTACCGCCCCTCCAAAATTAACAAGCTGATTCTAAAATTCATGACAGTTTAACAGATCCAGAGTAACCAAAACAATCTTGAAAAAGAATGAAAGTGGAGGAGGACTCATGCTTCCTAATTTCAAAACTTACTATAAAGCTAATGGTAATTACTATGGTCTGAATGTTTATGTTCCCATTCCCCCAAAGGTGACAGTATTAGTAGGTGGAGCCTTTGGGAGGTACTTAAGTCATGAGGGTGGAAACTTAAAGAATAGGATTACTGCCTTATAACAGATTCCAGAGGGATCTGTAGCCCCTTCTGCTGAGGATATACAAGAAGTCTGCATCCTAGAAGAGAACCCTTGTCCAACTGTGCTGTCACCCTGATCTCAGACTTTCAGAACTGTGAGAAGTAATTGTTTTTTATAAGCTACCTAATCTGTAGTATTTTGTTATATAGCCTGAACAGACTAAGACAGTAATCAAGACAGTGTGGTCATGGTATGAGGAAACACATGTAGATCAACGGACTAGAATTGAAGGACCACAGATAAGCTCTCAAATTTACAGGGAATTAATTTTCAGCAAGAGTCCAGACAAGTCAATGGGGAAAAAATATTCTTCTCAGTAAATGGTGCTGGTAAAACTGGATAGCCATCTGTTAGGGAGTGAAGTTGGACCTCTTCACATCACACACAAAAATGAACCCAAAATAGATCATAGGCTAAATGTCTAGTTAAGAATTGAAAGTGTAAAAGGGCGCCCTGGGTGGCTCAGTTGGTTAAGCAGCCAACTCTTGGCTTCGGCTCAGGTCATGATCTCACTGTTTCACGAGTTCAAGCCCCGAGTTAGGCCCTGTGCTGGCAGCACAGAGCCTCCTTGGGATTCTCTCCTCCTGTCCCTACCCCACTTGCGCTGTCTCTGTCTCTCTCGAAATAAACTTAAAAAAATTTTTTTTTTGTAATAAAAAAGAACTGAAAGTGTAAAAAAGCTAAAAGTATTAAAACTGTTAGAAGAAAATAAAGGAGTAAATTTCTAACACCTTTGGTTAGGCAAGGCCTTCTTAAACATGACCCCAAAAGCACAAGCGACAAAGAAAATAGGTACATTGGGCTTTCTCAAAATTAAAACTTTGTTGCTTCGAAGAACACCATCAAGAAAATGAAAGCCCACAGAATGAGAGAATATTTGCAAATCCTGTATCTGATGAGGATATCTTGTCTGTAGATACCGACATATTTAGAATGAAGAATTCTCACATAAAAGGGCAAATAACCCAACTTAAAAATGGGCAAAAAAAAAAAAAAAAAAGTTTTAAATAGAAATTTCTCCAGAGAAGATATACCCGTAGCCAGTAAGCACATGAAAAGATGCTCAAAGTCATTAGTCATCAGAGAAATGCAAATGACAACCAGAGAGATGAAAAGCCACAGAGACAGTAAGTATTAGTGAGGGCGTGGAGAAATGGGAGCCCTTAGACACCGCTAGGGGCAAGATAAAATGGTGCGGATGCTGTGGAAAACAGTCTGACACGTCCTCGAAATGTGCAGCATAACGGCTCGTAGGTTCCCAACAAGAGAAACAAAAATCTATGTCTACACAACAACTTGTATGGCATTATTCATAGTGGCCCTGAATTGGAAACAACCCAAATGTCTATGAGCTGATAAATGGATAAAGAAAATGTGGTCTTTCCGTACAATGGAGTATCACTGATTCTTGCTACAACATGGGTGAACTTTAAAAAACCTGCTTAGTGGACAAAGCCAGTCACAAAATACTATGTACTGTATGATTCCGTTTATATGAACTGACCAGGATAGGCACATCCACAAAGACATAAAGTAGATAAGTGGCTGCCTAGGAGTGGGGTAGAGGGACTTGAGGTTAAATGAAGAGTAATTGCTGATGAGTAGGGGATCTCTATCTGGAGGGATGATGAAAATGTTCTAAAATTGATGGTGATGGGGTGCCTGGGTGGCTCAGTTGGTTAAGCGTCTGACTCTTGATTTCAGCTCAGCTCATGATTTCACAGTTTGTGAGATCGAGCCCCACTTTGGGCTCTGTGCTCACAGCATGGAGCCTGCTTGCGATTCTCTCCCTCTCTCTCTGCCCCTCCCCTGCTCACGTTCACTCCTGTGCTCCCTCTCTCTCTCTCAAAATAAATAAACTTAAAAAAATAAAATAAAATTGATGGTGATGGTTGTACAATCCTGTGGCCCTGTGAATATACTAAAAAACCACTGAATCACACACTTTAAATAGATGAGCTGTATAGTGTATGAATTATATCTGATAATGCTGTTATACAAAAAATATATTAAGTGAAAAGTTTGCAGAGCAATATATCATATGAATATATTAAAATGTTTATAGTAAAACACTATATTCTTGGGGTGCCTGGGTGGCTCAGTTGGTTAAGTGTCTGACTTAGGCTCAGGTCATGATCTCATGGTTTCTGAGTTCGAGCCCCACTTTGGGCTCTATGCTGACTACTTGGAGCCTGGAACCTACTTCAGATTTTGTGTCTCCCTCTCTCTCTGCTCCTCCTCTGCTTGTGCTCTGTCTCTCTCTCAAAAATAAATAAACATTAAAAATTAAAAAAAATACTACATTCTTGAAAATTGGCAAAATTTGTGAAGCACTCTAAAAGTGCCATTGGTGTATTTTCCCTTGATCTGGTAAGCTTTAATCATGTGACAGATTAGGTGACAAAATGTCTTCACAGTAATTGATGCCACCTCATTATTACAATAATAACAGTAGCTTTAATTGTATTCTGTCTCTATGCCAACATTGTGCTAAATTCTTTTTTTCTTTTAACAAAGATTTTATTTTTAAGTAATCTCTACATTTGACGTGGGGACAACCCCACGTGGGGACAACCCCAAGATCAAGAGTCACATGCTCTTCTGCCTGAGCCAGCCAGGCACCCCCATGCTAAATTCTTTTTTTATTTTTTTAATGTTTATTTATTCTTGAGAGACAGAGACAGAGCATGAGTGGGGGAGGGGCACAGAGAGGGGGAGACACAGAATCCGAAGCAGGCTTCAGGCCCCAAGCTGTCAGCACAGAGCCCAAAGCAGGGCTTGAACTCATGAACTGTGAGATCATGACCCGAGCTGAAGTTGGACACTCAATCAACTGAGCCAGCCAGGCACCCCTGTGCTAAATTCTTAATATGTATTTTCTCATTTGCTTTTGACAGCACTTGATGATGGCCCAATATTTTCTATCAATCTCCCCTTGCTTTCTATTCTCTAGCATTTGCAAAATTGTCTTATTTATTAGACTATCAGAGATGCACAGCTCCTTTTGTTGCTATCAGCAGGAGCTATACAGGTAAATATTGTAGGTCTTCATTTGAATTGGCATTCATGGGATCCTATGCAGTCATAAGAGCATATTGATAAATCCATTTCTGTGTGTTTCAGATTTCAAGTTTAAATTAAAACATTTTAGGGGTGCCTGGGTGGCTCAGTTAAGTGGCCGACTCTGGCTCAGGTCATGATCTCATGACTCATGAGTTCGAGCCCTGTGTTGGGCTCTGCGCTGACAGCTTGGAGCCTGGATCCTGCTTCAGATTCTGTGTCCCCTTCTCTCTCTGCCCCTCTCCTGCTTGTGCTCTCTCTCTCTCTCTCTCTGTCTCAAAAATAAGTAAACATTAAAAAAAAGTAAAAAAAAAAATTATATTTGTTATGGCTGACTCCCAATTGGAGGAGAAAATACTTTTTAGTTGCTTGTCAGTTTGTGCGTGTGTGTGTGTGTGTGTGTGTGTGTGTGATGTGCTACTAAACTTGAAAGACATCATTGGCAAAGATAATTTTTAGAATTTTTTTTGTGTTGCAAATATAGACTGTCTCAATTGTTTGTGCTGATATAACAGAATACCATAGACTAGATGGCTTGAACATTTATTTCTCACCATTCTAGAGGCTGGAAAAGCCCAAGATCAAGGCGCTGGCAGATTTGGTTCTTGGTGAGGGCCCACTTCTGGCGTATAGACAGCCATCTTGCTGCGCCCTTACATGGAGAACAGACCGAGAGCGAGCTCTGTGGTCTCTTCTTATAGGGCACTAATCCCACCTTAAGGCCCCACCCTGATGACCCCATCTAAGTGTAAGCACCTCCTATAAAGGCCTCTTGCAAATGCTATCACAGTGGGGTTAGGGCTTCAACACGTGAATTGAGGGCCCAGGGGTGGGTCCAATACAATCCAGTCCATAGCAACTAGATGCGATGAAAATCTTCTCCATAAATGCTAACCCTAGCATTTCTGTTTGTTTTCAGTGTTATGTGCCAAGAACCTTGCAAAGAAAGATTTCTTCAGTAAGTACACACCTGCTTTTGCTCTCTTACAGTATTAGTATTCTTCACATATTTTTGTAATTTGAACTTAAAAAAAAAAAAAGACAACACTGGACATATTCCCCTCAGAATTCTGCCTTGTACCAAACGGACCCATGGTTTGACAAACTTCATTTCCAAGTTGGCAAGAATGTGGAGGCTTCGAGCTCCTAGGCGTAGTGTTATAACTCATACAAGAGAAACTGTCTCACTCCCTGTTCCGGCCGCACCCTGTCTTCTCCGTCTTTCCAGCCCTGAATCTGTTGCTTTCTGCTGGATGGAGTGTTCTCAGCTCAAATACACACGAGACGCTTTTCTGTAAAAGAGCTGGGTTTGAGTCAAATTGTTAGTCAAATTTTAGAAATGAAATCACATTTTAAAAGCCTCATAATTAAAGGAAGCGTAAAAACCAGAGGGGATCTTTTTCCAAAGGAAGAAATCACCCCTTAACTGCAGAAATTCACCACTATCAAGTCGGTGCCTGCAGCATGAACTTCTTCACTCTCTGATCCTCACAAGAATGCAGCTCAGTTCTTAAGTGGTATTATTCACACTTTAAAGGTGAAGAAACTTAGGTTCACAGGCCTTATTCAGGGAGCTGGGAACCTCCGGAGTAGTGGTCCCCATCAAGCATGTCTCTAAAACCCTTAACTTGCCGCCTCTCTGATCCTATAAATCTGTGCGACTCATACGCCAGCATTTAGGAACCCACCTAATTAAGACTTGGTGAATACTTGGGTTCGTAGATAAAATAGACAAAGCCCAGTAGGTAAGATTGCTAGGTGTTATTTTTTTAGGAGGTATAAATATAATGAATTATAGATCTCTTTTCTTCCATTTAATTAGCCCAGTTGGTGATCATCAGAAATGATTCTAAATTTAAGCCTAGTTTTTGTAGTTTTCTAGCCCCTAAAAATCTGTGGTGTCAGACTGGGTTGCCTTTCTTAGAAAGCTAAATAGAAATAACTTATTTTGCTGATCAAACTAACCCTAAATTAGAGAATACAGTGCCCCAGGGTAAAGTTCTTCACCAAATTAGATGATCTCAAAGCTCTCTGTAGCCTGTGAGACTGTGTTCTTGTCACATGGATGGATGTGTAGTCTCATCCCGGTGTGGCCGTCTCCTCTCCTTTAGGACTCCCCGACCCCTTTGCAAAGATTGTGGTGGATGGATCTGGGCAGTGCCACTCAACGGACACTGTGAAAAACACACTGGACCCAAAATGGAACCAGCACTATGATCTGTGAGTTGAATATTCTGTTAAGCCATTTGGGGAGCACCAGGAATCTAGCTTTCAAGAGAAGCCCTTAATAATAAAATAAGAATGATTACTAACTTCTCACTGATAACCAAATGAATCCATACTGCCTAATTTTATTGTATACTTGGAGGTTCTTGCATTCGACATGTTCATAGATTTTTATGGTTTGCTTCCGTACTGTGTTTTTCAACCTTCTCCATCTCCTGGCCATGCTGACAGGAAAAAAAGGGGTATAGTTCAGGTCCTTTGTGTGCTCTTCCCCCCCCCCCCCACAGTGAACCTCTGAAGCTTGTTGTAGAGTTTTACTTTAAAAATGCATTATTACGGGGGCATCTGGCTGTCTCAGTCGGTGTAGCAAGGCACTCTTTGACCTCAGGGTTGTGAGTTCGAGCCCCATGTGGGATGTAGAGATTACTTAAAAATAAAATCTTTTTGAAAATGCATTGTTATTGTACATACTTATTATTCAAATATATACTGCTTATATTTCTATTGATTTTTAAAATTTCTACTTTTTAGTAGGAACTATATTTTCTACAAGAGAAGATGAAGTTTGTTGTAGAAAATATAGCTCGGTATGATCGAATGGATGTAACATTCGTTCCTAACATGGATCGCACTTTGGAGACCATGATTTTAGATACACCTGTGTTTTCATGGCCCTGCTAAGACAGCGTCATCAAAAGAACGCTGAGCGGTTATTGGTTTTGTGTTAGTACAGATTGCATGGAGTCTGGGTGGGATTTCTTGTAACCAGATTCCAAGACTCGTTTTAGTTACACTCAGGAACCCTAAGTGGCTTGGGAGACGGTTGTTGCCCCTTTTCCCGAAAACTGCCCTCCGGTTGATTTGCATGAAGAGTAGGTGGAGGTAGAAAGCACTCTTTAATGTGCTTTGGGTGCATCTGTGGTTTATAAGTAGGCCCTTGCTGCAAACTAGTATTCTACGTTAAGCTTAATTGGTGAGATTTTATGAATTATGTCATCGTCCTTTGGAACTATAAAAATAGAGTGAATCTCTGTTATAGGATGATTATCATGATGTAGTTATGCACGTAAGCTTCTTACATAACTGGCTGTCGGCCTTTCCCCAGCCCCTTGAAGTTAGTAGATGTGTATTTATTGAGCACCTGTTATGTGTGGGGTATATAGAGCCAACGTCATTTTAAAAGGATTCCTTTGTACTAAGAAGTCAATCAGATGAAATCTCAACGGGCTATCGTAATTCAAAGAGGCAATTAAAAAGGAGTTTGTATGTTTTCAGATATGTTGGGAAAACTGATTCCATAACCATCAGCGTGTGGAACCACAAGAAGATTCACAAGAAGCAGGGAGCTGGCTTTCTGGGCTGTGCGCGGCTGCTTTCCAACGCCATCAGCAGATTAAAAGATACTGGATGTAAGAACCAAAATGCTCTTCTGCCTTATAGTACAACTGAAGAAGGGTTATGAGGCATCTTTTCGTTTTGTTTTTTTTTTTCCTTTTGAATACCGAATACAGAATTCCTGCCCTCCTCCCTAGTTAACATTTCCCTGGGTTAAGTTTTGAATTATTTGTTTGCAGACCAGCGTTTGGATCTATGCAAACTAACTCCCTCAGATACTGATGCAGTTCGTGGCCAAATAGTGGGTAAGAACTTTCTCATCTGTATAAAGAGATGCTTTTTCAAAATTTAACATTCAGCTCTCCATCACCGAGAAAGCGCACTCGGGCACTGACCGTGGTGACATATTTTCAAAGGACGAGCCACATCTGGGGCCATCTTTTCCGCGCTAGAAACTTTCGTCTTGTGTGGTTTTATTATTTTATTGAATTCTCTTCATCCTGTCATTCCAAGTTGAGTTAAAATGACTAGGCTACAAAAAGATTTCAGGTTATAATTTTTAAATATAATTTTAATCACCACATTAATAGACAATTAATTTGCCACGGTCTTAACCAAGTGTACGTGACAAGAATGGTGGCCACATGTACCAGAGTTGAGAAATAGTTTCTTCAGGAAGACCTGTAATATGCATAAAAGGCAAAGATGACTTCTGAAGACTTCCATGTGGTAGGATTTTATGGAGTCAGGATTGAATTCTTTAGGATAAAAAAAAAGATCAAATGTGCTAGTGTTACAAGTGTTGACTGGAGGTGTTCCATTGGAAGTGATTTATCTGTTAAGTGGCTTGTTCTGTTATCCACCCCATTTCATTAGCATTTTAGGGTAATTCAAATGTTGCCTGTGTGCATTGCAAGGAATCGGAGAAAACCTAGTATTTTAGCAGTGTACCGGAGTGAGTCACGACCCCAAATCTTTTAGGTATTGTCTTGAATATATTTGACCCAAAATAAGTCAACAGTGGGTATGTATCCTGAAAACTATCATAATGAGAAAGTTCTCACTTAATGCGTTTCCTGTTTGTGATTTCTTTTTCTCTGTGGAGTGATGTGCCAGGGGAAAAACAAGTAACTAGAAGCAACTTTGTAAACGTCTTTGTTGTTCACAGTAGGGATAGAGAATAAATATTTAAATTCATCTAGACTTTGCAGATACTGAAAGTGCTCTCTGTGTCCTTATTAAACATGAGTCAAGATCTTCTTAAAAAGTGAGGTAACTTAGAGGAAGTGAATACCGGGAATTTGTTATTTTTATGGAGAGCGTGAAAACACAGCCTCTCCTCCACATTTACAAGGAATGTTCCAAACAGTATGCAGTGGTGTAGAGCTAATGTAATGGAGTAAATGCTTCAGACATGAAAGCACAGGACTAGCTGTGTTTATGTATATACATGTGCCTCGCTTTGTATAATAATATTGTACGTAAGTTACACCTTTGCAATGGCTCACTGTATCACAACTGTATGGAATGCCACTGGATTTTAACGCAAGACGTTCTTTTCTGTTTTAGTCAGTTTACAGACACGAGACAGAATAGGCACTGGAGGGTCTGTGGTAGACTGCCGAGGACTGTTAGAGAATGAAGGGTACGTATCCCCGTGGCGATGCCTGCTGAGTTCTCTGCTGCCTTGGGCTCTCATTCTCTATGAAACAGCCTTCACACCTTTGTGCCGAATGCTTGAGATGCAGTTTGGGATAAAACTGGGGTCCAGTTTCCTTGTTTATAAAGGAAGCTGTAAAGACTAGTGGGGTTGTGCCCATAAGACTCAGGATCCAATTTAAAGAGGTTTGCGCTGGCCAAAGATGGGAGTTTGAGCATCAGTAAGAATTATAACCGTAGGGGCGCCTGGGTGGCTCAATCAGTTAAGCCTCCGACTCTTGATTTTGGCTCAGGTCATGATCAGGTCTGTGAGACTGAGCCCCATGTTGGGCTCTGCGCAGACAGCACGGAGCCTACTTGGAATTCTCTCACCCTCTCCCTCTCCCTCTCCCTCTGCCCCTCCCCCATTTGCTGCATCTGTCTCTAAATAAATAAATAAACATTACAAATTTAAAGAAAGAATTATAACTAGTGGATTGAAACAAATCAAATATATTAAAATTCTTGAGTTCATAACGACACTCAGCAGAAAAACCCTAAAACACACACAGAAAAACTTAAAAGCTCATTGGTCACTATCACAGTTTTGTGATCCCCAATGCCTTAATGGAGCTGGGCAGTAACCATTAATAGCTGCTAAAACAGCACAAAAGAGAGTTAATCTGACATTAACACACCCCTTGGAAAGAGGACCGAGAAATTGCTGCCGAACACTAAGCAGCATCCAGAAGGGGGCGCTCTGGAGAGTGTAGAAGACAACTCTTCAACAATTACGTTGGAAGAGAAATAAAGAGGAAGAGAATCTACAAATTCATAATAAAAGAGACTTAAAGAGACATACCTACCTACTAAATGCACGTTGGGGACCTTGTATATATTCTGAGTAATGAGACAATTGGCTGGGGAAATTTGGACACTAGTATTTGATGATATTTTAAAAAAATGAGTGTACTGTTTTTAGTCACGATGATGGAAGAAGTCCTTGTTTTCTCAAGACATAAGCTGAAGTATTTAAGGGTGAAATGGAAACACTTCGGGACTGGTTTCAGAATAACCTGGCAGAGGGGAGACACTGGAGGAGTAGCTGTGAGATGCCCATTGTTGTAGCTGGGTGACAAGTTTGGGGGGGGGGGTTGTTGAGATAGTCTCTCAATTTGTGTATATATTTGAAAGTTTTCAATGTATGATTTTTTTTTTAATGCTAATGAGGGAAAATAGGCTTTAAGGTGAATAGTCTTCAAAAAATAGCCTTTAAGGTGAATTGTCTTCAAAAAAGTTTAGGAGGTAAAGATTTATGTTAGAGAGCACTTAAAGTCATTGCTGTATTTATGTAACCTGAAGGTCTACTAGAGAGTAAAGTAACAAGGAAAGTGGAGTATGGATTTGAATATATATATATATAAATGTTTATTTTTGAGAGAGGGAGAGTGAGAGAGCCCGGGGGGGGGGGGTGGGCAGAGAGAGAGAGGGAGACACAGAATCTGAAGCAGGCTCCAAGCTCTGAGCTGTCAGCACCCCGACGTGGGGCTCAAACTCACAAACCATGGGATCATGACCTGAGCAGAAGTCGGACGCTTAACTGACCGAGCACTCAGGTGCCCCCGTGGATTTGATTTTAAAGCAAGAAATATGAAATTTCATTTTGCGAGCTCCTTACAGTACAAGGTTGGGTTTTTGAATCATTCAACTCTCCCCCAGGATGAGATCCCACCCGTGGCCTCTATGGCACTTGACAGATGGCTCCCTCTGGCTGCTTGTTCCTCATGAAAAAGTCTACCTTTCTGTTTAGATGGGACAGAAGGAATCTCGTACAGCTGGGCACTTGGGGGCATCTATCTTGTTGAAGAAAAGCACAGTAAACGGGTGTGGTTTTGGGCACTTGTGTTGGGCCGGTGTTCCCATGTGTGCTGTGCCGCTCTCCTTTCTAGAACTGTGTATGAAGACTCAGGACCTGGAAGGCCTCTCAGCTGCTTCATGGAGGAGCCAGCCCCTTACACAGACAGTACTGGTGCTGCGGCTGGGGGAGGGGACTGCAGGTTTGTGGAATCCCCAAGTCAAGATCAAAGGCTCCAGGCACAGCGACTTCGAAATCCTGAGGTCCGGGGGTCACTACAGACACCTCAGAACCGTCCCCACGGCCACCAGTCGCCAGAACTGCCCGAAGGCTATGGTGAGAGAACCCACCCAGCCACACCGGAGTGTGAGCGGCAGGGTTGCATTTCTTAAGCTTGTTTTAGTAACTTGTACGTGCGGTGACTGTGGACATTTGCAGAGTGGGGCCGTGCGATGGTCGTGTCAGAAGAAAGCCAAGTAAAAAAGGTGGTGATAAATCTGGTGCATCATGAATTTGTCAGCAATCACTCCAGTCTCCCAGTTTAGCAATCGTGTGAAAATTTTAGGCAAATGAATACCAAAAAAAATCCAAAATGATGCGTGGGCTGGATGAGGGTGGATGGAGTGTTCAGTAATTTGAATGTGGGAAGCTCGGCGTCGGGTACAAGGGAAAGAAGGGACGGAAGGGATCATCTGACCGCCGCAGAGAGGAGAACCCGGTGAGGGAGGAATATAATTTAGATGTGCAGAGAACAGCAGAAGTGAGAGCAGACGGAGGTGACAGGGCCAAGGTGAGGTCAGCACCAAGATGGAAGGGACTCCTGGGGTGTGGCCAAGTAAGGAGATCGCTGCCTCCGCAGGTGTGGGCAGGAAGAAGTGAGAGCCGCCCAGATACTTCCATGGGGCTTGTCAAGTGGGAGGTCAGGCAGAAGCTACCCACTGTCCTTTCCTCCCTGATTTTAAAGAATATTGAAAGGAAGCTTAGACTCTGTGCTTAAGAGGGTTCGTTGAAAACTCTTTGGAATTGAACTAATTGCGCCCTCTGATTTCTTGTGCAGAGCAAAGGACAACGGTGCAGGGGCAAGTTTACTTTTTGCACACGCAGACTGGAGTTAGCACGTGGCACGACCCCAGGATACCAAGGTATGTTTGCTACGGACGTGCACCGTCAGCGGCCCTCCGCCAGCACTTCTTCCCTCACCCCTGCCCTCCGAGATAGGGAGCACCCCTGGGGCTTGAAGGAGTCATCCCAGGGTCTTGGGCCCAGGCTCTCTGCTGCCCCCTTCAGACTCCACGTGGTCAGTGGGCGGCTACTGTACCGCCCGTGGGTCCTTTAGGAAGCAAACCTGTGTCTTGAGATCAGATCACGTAACTGAAAGAGACCCTCGCTCTAGATGAAATCACACGTGCCCTTGCTTGAAAAGCCAGTAAGCCCTTCGAGATGTGCTGTTCCCATTTTACACTAAAAATACCAACGATGTATTGATATCAATATTGATATCATTTCGGGTGATGAAATGATAGCACGTCTGGGATTTGCTTCAAGTAACTGGGGTGGGGGGAGTGGAGGGGGGATTAGGTTTGCAATAGGGTGACGAGTTGATAATTGTCGAGGTTGGTTATTCATTAGTGGTCTCTCTCTACTTTTTTATATGCTTAAAGTTTTCCATAATAAAAAGTTACAAAGGAAATGTAAAGACTCTATTACCCTTTCTCTCTTCTACTTTACTGTCCCTCTTGCCTCAGTCCCTTGGGGACCATTCCTGGGGGAGATGAAGCTTTTCTATGCGATTTCCTTCTACAAGGCCATACATCTGAGCCCAGGTCAGAGAGACCCCCGCCCCTCCCCCACCCTGTAATGGAGTTAAGTTTCTTCTTTTTTTTCTTCGTTTTGCTTTCCTTTCCAAATTTTGTTTGTTTTGTTTTGTTTCAGAATAGCATTACTACCTAATAACATTTCTAGTAATGCTCACATCCTTTTTATTCATCACTTGTTTCATCTGAGAAAGACTTCTTGTTGCTGACTTTCCAAGTCTCTGTTGAATTTAAGATCCAGTGTCTATAATTAGAATGGAAATATTACCTGCAAACGAATGAGGTGTCTCTAGTACCCGCTGTAAGAAACGTCAGGCTTTGTGCTGATTAGACAAGCAACTTGGCCAGTAATGTTGTGTTCCCATGTGGCCGGATTGTACTGAGATCATTCACCAAGAGGTTAGAATCAGAGACACGCGTGTAACAAAGGCAAGGAAAGCACGAGAATGCCGCTTCCCGGTGCTGCTGTTCTGAACTGTGAGATTTTGAAGGGGTGTCAGTATATCCCCTTGAACTTGCGCTTCTGGGAGCCTTTCAAGTGAAGCTGCCTTTGTGACCTTGAGCATTTAATTTAACTTGTAAATTCAGATGGTTTTCTGACAACAATCATCTACCTCCTGCTACTTGGCCGTCTTTCGAGGAAGAAACGCTGTTCCCCGGGTAGACCATGAGCCATGTTCCCCATCAGGGTCATGGGCTCCTAGAGCTCCGTTTTTATCTGTCGGGTTTCGCTGCCACCTGCAGCACAGAGTCCTGGACTCGGTGGGAGTTTGGCGTGAGTCGCGCCGTGACTGTCCCTCTTAGCAGAATGGGACGTTGGCCGCATTGATCAGGGACTCCTGTGGTTCCTCTTGCTGACATTTTGGTTTCGTGCCTCCACACTCAGACGGACAAACCTGTCTGTTCTCTTCCATTTCGGCAGAGACCTTAACAGCGTGAACTGTGATGAACTCGGACCACTGCCACCAGGCTGGGAAGTCAGAAGTACAGTCTCGGGGAGAATATATTTTGTAGATCATAATAACCGAACAACCCAGTTTACAGACCCAAGGTTACATCACATCATGAAGTAAGACTTGTACAGAATCTTTGTAGATTTCTTACGCTTGTAATTTAATGTTTTCTACTAATATTTCTCTTAATTTATCGACTGTGTTGTTTGTTAGTGGAGGTTAAGTGTAAGCGAAATACAATAAATGTCTGGTGGACAGTTGCGGGTTTTTAAACTCTCAGGACAGCCGGGAGCAGTTTTTTTTTTTTTTTCCCTTAATGTTTATTTTTGAGAGCGAGAGCATGAGTTGGGGAGGGGCAAAGAGAGGGAAACACAGAATCTGAAGCAGGCGCCAAGCTCTGAGCTGTCAGCCCAGAGCCTGATGCGGGGCTCGAACTCACGAACTGTGAGATCATGACCTGAGCCGAAGTCAGAGGCTTAACCGACTGAGCCACCCAGGCGCCTCAGTTGTGAACAGTTTTGAAACTGTATTGTTGCCGTCTTTTCTTGCTTGCAGCCTAAATAAAAGTCACTGAGATGACAGCATTAGGCAGTACAGCTCCACGTTCAAAGCTCCCGCACGTGGCTCTCTGAGGGAGTGTGTGGCCCTTGGCACGAGAGCCCCTGAAACCAGGCTCTTCCTTCATGCCCGCTCGTCACCATCTGGACGGGCTGCCGCAGTCCATATTGCTGCTTGCCAGAGCCTTTTCCTGGGCCCGTCCTTCCTGGATGACTTGGAACTGGGAGTTATCTTGGATCCCACAGTCAGTGTTCTGGCTCTGTCGTGTTCTCAAGAATGTAAGAGCCCCATGTGGCTCTTCTCACCGACACCTGACCTTAGGGGCCAAACCTGGACAAGACGAATGCCACTTCATCCCTCTACTAGTCCTAGTCCTTGATTTCGCTGGAGTTTTGTGGGCTTAGAAATCTCTTGGTCGTGAAAATGAGGAATAGTTCCCATTAGATTGCACTTGCCTTGTTTGCTCTTGTACGATAACCTGCTCGTGAAAGTTTTCACGTCAGCTCCATTGAATTTTGACTACCAAGGCGCATCTAGTAATGCATCGGTCAGTCTCTCAGATACATACCGGATGTGTGACAAATGACAGCAATTTCTGTTTTTATTTACAGCAGTGATAAGCTGTAGGGTAAGCAGTTGCTTGGAACTGGGGTATCTTCTTGATTGAAGCCATATTTGGACCCCTGTATTTAGGCCAGTGGTGGCCACTGTCAGTGTTTATGTATCTTCATACATGGTTATGTCAGCAGAGGGAACATCTCTTCTTGCAGTTCTGTGTGATGAGCTCGCTTCTCAGTCCCTCACCAGTGGGGGGCATTGCTTGTGGCTCCCTGGGCCGCTGCTTTTGGGGTGACCTTGATGTTTCTGTTCTTCTCAAGTCACCAGTGCCAACTAAAGGAGCCCAGCCAGCCGCTGCCATTGCCCAGCGAGGGCTCGGTGGAGGATGAGGAGCTTCCCGCCCAGAGATACGAGAGGGATTTAGTCCAGAAGCTGAAGGTCCTCAGACACGAGCTTTCGCTTCAGCAACCCCAAGCTGGTCATTGCCGCATCGAAGTATCCAGAGAAGAAATATTTGAGGTATGGAATTCGGCGCGACCAGCAGGGAGGCATAGACTGTTAAACCCTGTTGACAGACAGCAGGTTCTTTCTGTTTGGTGTTTCGGGTACCGATTTTATCACTCAGCAAATTGCAGGGCTTTATCAGGACCGATGGCCATATAGAGAGACAGACTGGACTTCCTCCTGTCTGTGGTAGGAGTTTAAAAGCTAGAGAGCTTCTGAGACGAAAATACAGAGACTCACACAGAAACTAGCACTAAGTAACACTGTAAATCCTCTTCTGTGTGCCGGTTATATATTCCTGCAGCCCGCATGGTTTCTCCAGAACCAATCCCTCCTTCTGCTCTTGCCATCTCACCTAAGGGCATCGCCTCCTCAGAGAAGCTTGGGGGCCAAGTGGCCACTTTATTGTCTTTTCTGGAAATGGGAAGATCCGATGGTTCCTGGAAAGGGTTGTCTTTCATACAGCTCCCCTGTGGGATCAAGGCCACCAAACAGGCGGGACCTCCTGTAGACAGGGCCCTTTTCTCAAGGCAGGTGATTGGAAGGTAAAGTCTCGGTGATGTTTGGTCTGCGTCCTGCCTGCCTTTGTGGAATCATGGGCAGGAGTGATCAAAAGAGGCTGGGTGACACCTGAACACGGAAGGTGAGGACACAGCGGCAGGCAGCCCAGTGCCGTCCTCACTGGGCGCTGAAAGCGCCCAGGGCCATGTTCGATGCTCGGGCACAGACGACGGTTAGGCGAATGGATGGACTGGCCAGAATGGCCATTGAGCAGGGAGGGAAAAGAGCTGCATTCTTCACATTTTGCTGCTAGATCATTTCCACTCAGCATCCCCTTTCCCTCTTGGGATGGGAAGGCTTGAATTACATTAAATTGAAAGCAGGGGAAGAGTCTGAAGTGCCTTATCACTGAAAATATCTACAAGCGTTTAGCTAGTTGCACTTAAAACAAAAAAGTAGCTGAAGGTTAGGCTAGCTGCCTGTGTTCTGTGTTTTGGGTAAGCTCCCATAGGTCTTACTTTATTAAAAAAAATTTTTTTTTAAACATTTTAATTTATTTTTGAGAGAGAAAGACAGAGCGCTAGCGGGGGAGGGGCCAAGAGAGAGGGAGACACAGAATCCGAAGCAGGCTCCAGGCTCTGAGCTGTCAGCACAGAGCCGGACACGGGGCTTGAACTCACACGCCGTGAGATCATGACCTGAGCCGAAGTCTGACGCTTAACAGACTGAGCCACCCAGGCATTCCCCCATAGATCTTACTTTAAATACTTTTTTGCTTTTTTTGACTCCCTGGAAATTATGCGATTTTTCACCTCAGATACAAAAACAGGCTCTGAATTCTTTTACTATTCAGATTCTCCAGTGACATCTTCCTTTTGGTTATAATACACAAGTCATTCTTAGTATGGCCTCATTAAAATCAATTTGTGTAGAGAAAATGGACTCTGGTGAGGATGTCTGTCCCTAGGCCTTTAGCGATTGTGCTGAAAATGGGGGTGTGCGTTTCCTTTGGGTACGACGTTGCCCGGCACGAGCTCCTTGTTCCTGAGGGACACCCGGGAGATCAGGCGACAGGGGCTACCCCACATCAGACACTGGACATCAGACCAACATTCTGACTAGGAATCAGATCAAACTCAGATTTAAATGACTATTTATCCTGATTCGGGCTCCATTACCAACAACCTTGAATCTCTGTAGAACAGTAAGAATGTGACCCGTTCTTCTCTCTGACGCTGTCTTTTTTTTTTTT